GCATATCAGATGTTGAATATTTCTTTGTTTCCACTTGAGTTTCCTCTTTTGAGAATTTTCTGTGTAGATCTTACCCAATTTTAATTGGGTTTTTGTTTTCTTTGTATCTATTTTTTGTATATATTTTGGATTATTAGCTCTCTATTGGATGTATAGTTGGTTAAATCTTTTCCCATTCTGTTGGCTGCCACTTTGTCCAAATCATGGTGTCTTTTGCCTTACAGGTTTTCAGTTTCATAAGGTCCCATTTATTAATCTTTATCTTAGTGCCAATGGAATCAAGTTATTTCTCACTTTCTCTTCTATCAGATTCGGTGTATCTGGTTTTATGTTGAGGTCTTTGATTCATTTGGACTGAGTTTTGTGCAGGGTGAAAAGTATGGATGTCTATATGTAGACATCCAGTTTAACCAGAACTGTTGGTTGAAGATGCTGCCTTCTTTTCCCCAGTGTGTATATGTATTTCTGGACTCTTTATGAAAAAAAAGATGTCTATAAGTGTTTGGATTTATGTCTGAGTCTTCACTTTATTTTCATTGATCAACATCTCTGTTTTTGTGCCAGTACCATGCTTTTATTACTATAGCTGTGTAGTACAATTTGAGGTCAGTGGTGATGGTACCTCTAGTAGTTCTTTTATTATTCAGGATAATCTTAGCTAGTCTAGCTTTTTTGTTTGTTTGTTTGTTTTTGTTTTTTGGGTTTTTTTGTGTGTGTTTCTTCTTTAAGATCTGTGAAGAATTATGTTGGAATTTTAATGGAGATTGCATTGACTCTGTAGATTACTTTTGGTAATTTTTACATTTTTTTACAATGTTGATCTTGATCATCCAATCCATGAGCATGAGAGCTTGTTCCATCTTCTTTTTTAATTTCTTTCTTCAGCATCTTGAAGTTTTTAATCATACAAGTCTCTCATTTGCCTAATTAGAGTTACCCCAGGATATTTTATATGTTGTTTCCCTGTTTCTTTCTCGTTCCATTTGTCATTTTTATATAGGAGGGTTACTGATTTTTGTGTTTGTGTGTGAGAGTTAATTTTGTATCCAGCTACTTTGCTGAAAGTGTTTTTCAGCTATAGGAATTTCTTGAATAGGAATGCTGTGTTACAAGCACTTTCCTGCCAGCCTGGTCTCACAGCCACGTCAGCCCCAAATAAACATTTCTTATTGGCTAGCTCTGTGTTAAATATTAACTCATTTCTATCAATCTAAGTATTTCCACATGGCCTTATTTTACCAGAGAGAGGGTCTAGACCTTTTACTTTTTCCATGTCCTACATCTTGACTCCTCTCTACTACAACTCCCAGAATCCTCCTTGTCTCCTACTTCCATCTATCTTGCTTTCCTATTGGCTGACAGAGCTTTATTCATTAACCAATAAGAAAAACATATATACGGAATGCCATCTCCCATCATCACTGTATGCTATCATATCTTCTGAAAATAAGGCTACTTGAACTTCTTTCTTTGCAATTTGTATGTCCTTGATCTGCTTTAGTTGTCGTATTGCTCTAGCTAAGGTTTCAAGCACTATATTGAGTAGGTATGAAGAGAATGGACAACCTTGTCTTGTTCCTGATTTTAGCATAATTGCTTTGTGTTTCTCTCCATTCAAGTTGATATTGCCTATGGGCTCCCTGTAAACTGCCTTTATTGTGTCTAGGTATGTCTTAACCTCTCCAAGACTTTTATCATGAAGGGATGTTTGATTTTTGTCAAAGGTCTTTTCTTTATCTAATGAAATAATCATATGGTTTTTTTTCTTTCAGTTTTTTTATAAGATGGATTATAGGTTGAACCATCCTTGCATCTCTGGGTTGAAGCCTAGCTGATCATGGTGGCTGATGTGTTCTTGGCTTGTGAGTATTTTGTTGACTATTTTTGCATCTTTATTCATAAGGGAAATCAGTCCATACTTTTCTTTGTTTGGTCTTTACATGTTTTGAGTATTAGGGTAAATGTGGGCTTATAAAAGAAATTAGACAGTGTTCCTTCTGATTCTATTTCATAGAATAATTTGAGGAGTATTGGCATTGGCTCTTCTTCGAAAGTCTAGTAGAATTTGCCCTAAAACCATCTAGCCCTGAGCTCTTTTTGATTTGGAGACTTTTAATGATTGCTTCTATTTCACTAAAGGTTAAAAGTATGTTTAAATTGCTTATCTGATCTTGATTTAACTTTGGTAAGTGGCATTTATCAAGAAAACTATCAATTTATTTTAGATTTTCTAATTTGGTGGAGTACAGGTTTTCAAAAAAAATAATAATTTAAAGAAGTAATTAATATGGGTGATTTAATAGGTCCATACTTTGATGTAGCTTAGTTGTTTTCTGGGACTGTAGAGTATAGTCATGTTATGTTCTAATTTCAACATGTATTTCAGAAAAATGTCATCCATCCTTCAAAGGTAGATTCTGACCATATCTTTCCACCAAAAAACTCTTGTCTGCTTCTGATAAGGACTGGCAAGTGACCGAACAAATTATACTTACAGAATCAATTCCTTACAGCAACTCAAAGGTTTCATGCCATCTTCAATCCACAGAAGATGCCAGAGGGTCTGCAAACTCCAACTCCACCTGGAATTTCCTTCTTCTTCTCATTTTAATCTGAGAACAGAGGCCTGGAATTATATTAGGAATCACCAGAAACAACAACAAAAGGGAGATGATTGCCACACACTGGAATAGTACAAGCTCATAGTAAAAAAGTCTTGAGACAAAAACCTGTGCAGAAAATAACCAAGTGACACTTGATGAGTTTGGGCCTGACATTCTCAGCCCCATGCAGGGGTCTCAGCTTCACAGCAGCCTTCTTCATCTTCTGTGTCCTATTTATTCCATCCTAATGTAATGACTGTATCCGTCTCCCTGGTTACCCTGATTTCCTGCAGGGTGGGAACCGTTTCACATCTTCTTTGATTTCCTAGTCCAAAACAGCACCTAGCATATACAAGCTGTTTAATAAATGTTTATTGAATTGGTCTAAATTGAATCCCGGCCTCAGGATCATAACCTCAGAGCTCCTACCCAGGATCATGAAAATTCAACTTTCCTGTTTCTGTTTTCAAAGGACTTGCTAAAGTGGAACAGCATGACATTTTGGGCAACTCTCCCCCAGGCTTTGAACAAACATGCTATTTCTTCTAAGGGAAAGCTGTCAATCTCTGTTTAAGTTGAGTTTAGATTTCAAAGGACAGAATTCAACAATGCCCGAACCTCCAAATGAATTCATGATGAGAGCACCGCTCAAGTGCATTCATTTCTCTTGCCCTAGAATGAGTCAAGTCAGGCCAGCCTTGGTCGATGACAGTTCAATCCTTCCTCAGGATGCTCGGCTGAGTGTGGGTGGAGGGAAAACTCACTTTGCTGGTTCTTTTTCTGTTCTTAGTGTTTGGGATTGAATCCAAAGCTTGGGGGATAAAATTCAGGGTCCTGCAGATGCTTGGCAAGCCACCTCCATTGCTAGGCAACTCCAGCATCAAAGTATATCCACACACCTTCTTAAATTCTGAAACGTTTTAGGTCTTCCCAAGGGCTGATAGCATGGCTGGTTACAGTAGCTTTAGCATGCTGTATTGTGCAAGCATTTTGAACTTGGAATTCTATTGATCAAGTTTTAAATCTCATCTGTAACTTTCAGTAGCTGAGAAATACTAAGAAATTTTTTTTATGTTTATTTGAATGTCAGTTTCATCAAGTAGAAAATGAAGATAAAACATCTCTTTATTGGGATTGTTGTTTACTTAAATAAACTGTATAAGAGAGTGTTTTTCCACTGGGCAGTGGGAGCACACTCCTTTAATCCCAGCCCTTGGAAGGCAGAGGCAGGCAGACCTCAGTGAGTTCGAGGTTAGCCTGGTCTACAGAGTGAGTTCCAGGATAGGACAGCCAGGACTGTTACACAGAGAAACTCTGTCTTGAAAAACCAAAACAAAAAAAGAATGTGTTTTCCATATGCTTCCATATGCATCAAACATTCAAAATATAATAGTTGTTACTACCAATAATAATAACAAATTATATGCTTATATAATATATAATAAGTTATATATTTATAAGTAAGTTGGCATTGTTATTATTCCACATCAGTGGCTCCAGAAATGGTACAGCCTAATGCTACCCCTCCAGATAGCCAGTAGCCAGTGTGGTAGTTTAAATGTAATTGGTCACCATGATCTCACAGAGATTGGAGGTGTGGCCTTGTTGGAGAAAGTGTGTCACTGTGTGGGTGGGCTTTGAGGTATCCTTGGCTCAAGCTTCCCTCAGTGTCCCAGTCGACTTCCTGTTGCCTGCAAGATGTAGGACTCTCAGCTATTTCTCCAGCCCCACCATGTCTGCCTGCACACCATCATGATGATGATAATGGACTGAACCTCTGAAACAGTAAGCCAGACACCCCAACTGAATGTGTTCTTTATAAGAGTTGCCATGTTCATGCTGGGTGTTTGTGGCTCACGCCTTCAATCCCAGCACTCAGGAGGCAGAGGCAGGTGGATCTCTGTAAGTTTCAGGCCAGCCTGATCTACAGAGCTAGTTCCAGGACAGGCTCCAAAGCAATACAGAGAAACCCTGTCTCAAAAAACCAAACCAGAACAAACAACAACAACAACAAAAGGGTTGCCATGTGCATGGTGTCTCTTCACAGCAATAAAAATCTAAACTATTCCTGATTTTGAAGATACATTTCTTCAGGTAATTTTTTGTTTCATATAGGCCTATCTAGGATGAGTCCATTAGAACAAATGGTTTCATTTTGTCCTATGAAACTTTCATTAAAAAAGCAGAGAAGATGGATTACAGATAACCAAATGATCCGTCTAACTTTCCTCCTTAAACATCTATACTGTTTTCCTTCTTAAAAACTCAACTGTGTTCTTTTACCTCCTGACAGAAGGTCGGTGATCTTCTAAATTTAAAATCTCTAGTTTCCACAGTTGATAAATCTGAAGCTAAATGCTTTGGTTTGGTGCAACTAGCTTGGCTTCCCTTGCAGCAATGGCGCCCCCTACACTATCAGTGGCTGACCCCTCTCCAGTCCCTCACCAACACCTTAGAAAGGTGAGCCGTTTCTCATTTCACCTCTTCTCCTTGGTGCCTTTCGTTATTGTTGTTGTTGTTAACAACTTTCTGTCAACACACTTGAAAACTTACATGAAGGAGACATGAGTAACAGACTCTTCCTCAGGATAGTCGGTGCCTACAGCTGGCCCTGGACAACCCCATCTCTACGGAGACTTCCGTTCCACTGCATCCATCTCCTACTAAACTGAAGATGCTGCGAGCCATGATGGATTGGCAGGTTAGTGCAGAGGCTCTGTGGGTCTCTGTTCTCTCTTCATTCCCCACCAGGCGAGGTCAGTCGTCTGCCAAGGGCTCTCTGCTTGCTCCTTCTGTTTGAGAGCTGAAACTCTCATGGAGGGCTGAATCTTTCTGACAGCACTGAGCAGATCTCCACCACACCGAGTCTAAGGGGACCTCAGGCATCTCGGCAGCTCTTTTCTCCCATTTGCCAGCACCTGTGCCTGAAAGGATTTCCAGTACTTGGATTTCTCCTTTTGCAGTTTACTCTCCATGTGAGTTACTTTTCTACTGCTATGATAAAGTACTATGAGCAAGGAAACTCACAGGAGGGAGCCTCTATTCTGGTTGAAAGGTCCAGAGAGAAAGTCCATAATGGTAATGAAAGTACAGCAGCCGGCAGGCAGAGCAAGGAACTGAGAGGCCACATCTTCAGTTCCAAGTACAAAGCAGAGAAAGACGTAAAAACCGGAAGAAAAACAAGACTATGGACTCTTAAAACGTGCTGCCAGTGACGTACTTCCTTGGCCAGACTGAAGCAGCTCCCCTGTAACACCATATCTGGGGACTAAGTGTTTGAATGCCTGACCTTTGAGGGACATAGCTAATCTAAGCCACCACACCCTCTACCTCTCCTTCCTGCTTCCAGAACCTTTAGGAAATTGACCTTGTGGTTCCTGTTATTTTTGGTGGCTTTTAAATTTTTTATTATTATTTTTGATGAAATGCATATGCCACGGAAGGTAAAAGAATAAGCCCGTTGCTCCTGGCCACTTCTTTTATAGCCATTGCTACCTTGTTTTTTCTTTTTTATAAGCCATATTAAATTTATATCTTCTTTCTCTACTGAAAGAAAATACATGAGAGCCTGAACAGACAGGAAAGAAGGAAGGATGTAGTGATCTTTCAAATCCCAGATTGACTGGACTTTGATGGGTTATTTTCTTTCTTTTCCCTAGTGGGAAAATTGTTTTCACTATTAAGCATACAAGTTCCTTGACTATGATGAGATACCAATCTTGGACAAAGGCCATGGCAATACAGAATGATCAGAAAACATGAGTTTTTTAGACTCTGGAAGACAGAAGCTTATTGATGGCCACACCAGTCCTGACTGGTATTTCAAAGGAATAGGAACTGAAAGGTATATTTACTAAACCCACTAGATTTGTTATGATGTTTTCCTGCCATTTTCAGAAGCTAAGTACCTAAATAAATGAAGATACATAATATGTTTATAGGTAAGATATCAAAGCTGTATGTTCATAAAAATATGTAGGTAGACAGACAGATATGTAGATATATGGTACATATATATGTATATACATATATATATACATATATATATATAATTTCAACACAATTTTATTGACGATCTTAGCAGGACTTTTATAGAAACTGATGAGCAGATTCTGTAAGTTGTATTCAAAGCAAAGGATTTAGAATAGTAAAAATAACTTGGAAAGAAAACAAAATTGAAAGTCCATGCTATATGCCTTCCAAAACTACTATAAAGATGTAGCTATCAAGAAATACGACATTGGTTTGATCACGCCAGACTGCCTGAAACAGAGTACAAGGTGATCCTACATTCAAAACAGCTGGACAAAACAGCCCTACAGACTACAGCCAGGATATCTGAATCTTCTTCGAATCCCCCAAGACAGCGCCCCTTACCAGCAGGAAGTAGTTTGGAAAGAACGATGCCCAAATTCCCAAATATTGTGTATAAATGTTTGTTTTCATTTAATTGGACTTTGTTATATAAAATTAAATAAAAAAGATTAAAAAAAAGAAATATGACATTGATGTTCAGGTAGACAAATATATTAATCAACTACAACACAACCCAGGAACTGACTGACACATCACTTTTCAATTTGCAATAAACATGTAAAGGGAATTTGTAGAGAAAGAGTGGGCAGTGGGGTGTTTTTTGTCTTTTTGTTTGTTTGTTTGTTTGTTTTTTATCCCATGCATCACATAAAGGTAGTGCCAAGCCCAATTAACCTGTCTCAGCGTTGGACAGTGAAATGGCTGTTGGCCGTTTCTGCTGCTCAAGTAACAGCCACCAATGGAGAACCATGGGAGTTTCTTGACTTCTCTCCAGAGCGCAGTGCTATCAGTCTTCCCACCAACCTCTGCAAGGAGTCAGGGAAAGGTACGGGCACTGTAGAAGAGATCAGCACTCAAGCATTCACAGGGACTGGGGCAAATGGCACAAATCAATGAGACAAGTGTGGGGCGTGGGAACTGGAAAATTCTTGCCCAGATAGTAAAGTATTTTTCACAAAAGCTAATTATTTCATATTTGTGTGTACATTTTCCCGGTGTTTCTTTGTTGGCAATCAACTCAACACGTTTTAAGTGCCACTTAAAATCGAAAGACCACATGTGTGTCCCAAGTGACCAATCTTATTTGTCCTATGCTTGAAAGAGGTCAAAATATAGAACAAATAGAATCTCATGCTGTTTTCTCTTCTCTGGATTCTCTTCTAGAACCATTGGGCAACTGATAGGCTTCTGTTTCCCCCCAGGGAAGCCGAGTCCAGTGTTTTCCATCAGGTTGAGGGAAATCAGGTCACTTTCCTCTGAAGTCATTAAGTATCTAGTTTCTAAGTCACATTACTATGCATCACTTTCCTACAAATGTATAATTGCATTTATGTAAAAAAAAAAAAAAAAAGGAAAGAAAGTCAAAGAAGCAAAATACTGTCTCTCAAGAGCTGGCAATCATGGCTGGCAGTGATAACTCGGTAGTAAAGGGCTTGTCTGGAATCCCAAGGCCCCAGGGTCATCCCAGCACTGAAGATAATAAAGTGAAGTGAGCTCACAATCTGGTCTTTCGGAAGTCTTAGAGATGCTGTAGTGGCTGGCAATTCATCATTTCTATGGGGCCTCCGCACAGGCACAAGTCCCTGTCCTGTAGGCATGACAGTGAGAACAAGCATCCTCACCCCTTAACCCAACCTTCCCATTGAGGAAGCCCCAAAGCTACCTATGAATTTTAGAGCACTCGGCCTTTGGAACCAGTCATGCCATTTGTAAAACAGGCTTAGTAACAATTATGCAATTGAGTTGTCATGTGAGAAGTCTGGAGTGAAGGGCAGCCCCAGTGAAGGGCTAGCGTGCTGGCAGCCACCTACTAGAAGCTACAGAAAGGAGGGGTAAGTCTCATTTCCTACATCTTTATGAATGAATTTCAGATTTCAAGGTACATGAGAGTCATCACACACACACACACACACACACACACACACACCAGGGAAACAGGAAAAAAAGGGGGATGAGAACAGAGGATGTTAATGGTGTGTGGGGGGGTCAAATTAACACAGAGGGTAATGGCATTTGCCTTGCTGCGCCCCGCCCTGCCCGCCCCACCTCGTCTCGCCTCATTCATTATTTTGTAGGCTATCTTGAAAAATCAAAGTTAAACCAGGTGGTGGTTGCACACACCTATAATCCCAGCTCCAAAGCTACACAGAGAAACCCTGTCTCAAAAAACCAAAAAGGAAAAAAAAATCAAAGTTAAATAAAATGCATATTCTAGGCTCTATGAAAGCATGTGTTGAGGAACTCTATGAAAGCATGCATCAGCAGAGCCTCTGTTGGTGGCACATGCCTTTAATCTCAGCACTCGGGAGGCAGAGACAGGCAGATCTCTGTGCCTGCTTGGCAGGCACAGCTTTCAGGATGCTGATACAGGGGCTCCATGGACCACACTGGAGAAACACTGGCCTGTGTCCAAAGAATCTTTCCTGCTGTAGTGATGCCTGTGCCGGGCAGGGTGAGAATGTGAGAAACCCACCTCTTATTTCATTTCTGTGCCTTTGTAAGGAAGGGCCTGAAAAATAACAATCAACCCTAGGAACATAGAGGCTGTAACCTGGGAAAGTGTTGAGCCCCTTCAACAATGGTGAAAGGCTACCAGGTACTCGGGGATGGCTGAAATAACTGCCCCGGGGTATGAAATCAGGGCTGCTGGGCGCTGGTCTCTCCTGTCAAGCTTTAGGCTTGAGCAGACAGCATTTATAACTTGCATTTGGTAGATTGTGCTACAGTCATTTAATCATTCAGAGACCATGCATGCTACATGAAGTCAAGGGTCTTTTCCACCAGAGTGAATGTAATTTAAGCAGGATGGGTAGCTCAAATAAAAAGCAAAATGGTGAAGATAAAGGATGTGAAATAAAACCCTGATAACTCCCTACGGAGCCTACGATTACATAATTCCAGCCTTCTGTGGAGACCAGAGTAGCTTGATCTTGAGGTCGACTGGGCTGTACAAGGCAGACTCTATCTCAAGGGAAATGAAGAAAAGGGTTAATTCTTTTGTGAAGGTTTGAATGCAGATATGTCCCTCGTAGGCTCAGATGTGTCATTGTGTGTTCCACAGAGGTGGCACTGTGTGGGTAGGTATAGGAGGAGTGGCCTTGCGGGAGTGGGATTAGTGATTTGAAATGAATCACACCCCTTCCCAGTTCATGCTCTCGGCTTCCAGCTTGTGATTAAGATATGAGCTCTTGACTTGCTGTTCCTGCTGCCTTGACCACCCCTTACTACGAGGGACTCTTACTCTTATCCCTCTAGAGCCATAAACCCAAAGTGCTCTTTCTTCTATAAATTGCCTTGGTCATGGTGTTTTAGCACAGTGATAGAAAAGTAACTACTACAGCTTTCCTCACTGGTCCATTTAAGCAGCTTGACTGAGTATTTTTGCTTTGTGTGTGAATATTGTTACTAAATTACCTTGAAGCCTACTCCAAACATCATCTCGCCATCCAGCTGTCTCTAAGTTCCTATGAAGAACGATTTTTAAAAATATTTGTAAGGAAATAGATTTACTCATTCACACTATCTTGCCTATGCCAAACAAAGTGAGATCTATGGCACATATTCTACAACCAAAGGATTTTATGATTGGTAGGAGTTTTATCACAGCACTAATCTCAGTGTAATAAAATTCACTATTTACCTATCTGCTTTCCCAAGTGCATCACAAACTTCACGAGAGGAGATCGTATCTTACTTATTATTGAATCCTAATACATGTAGGTGTTCAGAAAATGAGATACATATATCTGAACAGACTCCAAGTAGGTATTTTCCTTCAAAATAATAATACCCTGGGAAAAAGTACATTTGTCTGTAGTACTGACATTGTCTCAAATTCCTCCCAATTTAAAACTATCTTCAGAACTAGTTTTAAAAGCACACTAGAGAAGAAGAAATATTAATGTATTTTGATCTCAGCTTTCTCCTTCAAGCAATCATTACAATGAACATGGGAGTGCAGATATCACTTTGATATACTGATTTTAGATTATTTGGTTATACACCCAGGACTGAGGACACTTGGCCATGTATTGTTCCTATCTGTGGCTTTTAAAGAGCCCTCCATACAACTTTGCAAAATGGCTATATTCCCTTTTCTCTACATTCTAAGTCAACACTTAGAATTCATGGTTTTTATATCTTATTTTTTATTCACTTGGGGGGGGGTATTGTTGTGTGACAAGCCTTCTTCTAGGGAGACACAACACACATGTCTACTCACCCCAGACAGGGAGTCCACAACAGGCCAAAGTAGGGATACCACCAAAATCCAATTTGGTGAACCAGTGAGTTTTATTTGGATTACTTAGAGGAATAAAGATGAGGGATTACTTATAGAGCAGAAATGACTTAAAGATATCAGCATCACCAAAACCTACCCCAGAAAAATTGGGAACCTGGAGCACACTACACAGCCTCCCCCCCAGGCAGCTCATAGGTTGGAGAGTATACTTTTCAAGTGATTCAGTTGCTCTAAACCTCTTCTAGGATCTATTGCTTACTCTGGAAACGGGAACTAATGAATCTGGTCAGTTTCAGGGACTTCTTGAAGCTATTTTGAGTTGTTTACCATCTGTTTTAAGGAACTTTCCTACAAAATGAAATGTTCAATCTAGGAGGAAATGGTTACACAACAAACATTTCCTTCCGTCATTTAGGTCCTGGAGACTGAACTCGGGTCCTCAAACTAGGCAGCAGTCATTTCTATTAGCTGAGCCACCCTGTGATCCCAGCAATCATCTTCTTGATAAAAAGCCTTTCTAGCCATTATGGAGTGTTATCTTATGGTTTCTTTCATTTGTATCTACCTAATGATTAGTTATGGCAGATATTCATTCTTGTACTAGTTGGCCATCTGAAGAAATGTCAGTTCACAACCTTTGCCCATTTAAACATTTTTGTTTATTATCTTTTGTGTATGAATGTTTGGTCCATGTGCTTTTATGCACTATAGATGTACCTTGTACCCAGGGAGACCAGCGGGCTTCAGATGGCCTATACCTGGGGTTAGTGATGTCTGTGAGCCACTATGTGGGAGCTCAGAGTTGAAACTCGATCCTCTGGAAGAGAACCCAGTGCTCTGAACTACTAAGCCGTCTCAGGCATACTTTGTCCATTTTTAACTGGACAATTTTTTTCCTTCCTATTGAGTTGAATTTTTTTTAAATATTGTAGTCCTTGTGTCAGATTGTGATCTGTCCATATGTCTCCACTCTTTGAGAATTGTTTCCTTTGATGTAGAGAAGAGTTTTTGCTGTTCTCCCATTTGCATACACTTGCTATTGTTGCTTGTGCTTTTGTGGTCACATCAAATATTCTTGTCCAAGCCAATGAACTAAGTACTTCTCATATATTAACTCAATGAATGCTGTTTAATGTGGGCTTAAAATACAGTTAATACATTCATTCCTGCACATTTCCAACTCCTAAGAGTTCTTGCTTCTTTTGGCACTTTCTTCATATAAGGCAGTGTCAATTTTTCTTCCCATCACCAAGTGACCCCTCTTCTTGTATCTATTACAGACTGAATTGTGCCTTCTGCAAATTCATATGCTGAGCTCCTAAACCCTGCGCCTCAGAATGTGGCTGTGTTTGGAGATAGGGTCTCTAGCAGGGTAACTAAGTTAACACACAATCCTTAGAAAAAAACGAGTGCAAATGGGATGTGATTGGTGTCCTCATGAAAGAAAATTAAAGCATAGACACACAGAAGGAAGGCAGTGAAGACCTGGGGTGGTGGTGGCCCTGTACAAGCCAGGAGGACAGCCTGCTGTGGTGGCACACACCTTTAATCCCAGCACTCAGGAGGCAGAGGCAGGCAGATCT